AGCAACATCTAACTAACTCTAAGATTACCAGCATCTAACTAACCCTAACCATTAGCAACATCTAACTAACTCTAAGATTACCAGCATCTAACTAACCCTAACCATTAGCAACATCTAACTAACCCTAACCATTAGCAACATCTAACTAACCCTAAGATTACCAGCATCTAACTAACCCTAACCATTACCAACATCTAACTAACTCTAAGATTACCAGCATCTAACTAACCCTAACCATTACCAACATCTAACTAACTCTAAGATTACCAGCATCTAACTAACCCTAACCATTACCAACATCTAACTAACTCTAAGATTACCAGCATCTAACTAACCCTAACCATTAGCAGCATCTAACTAACCCTAACCATTAGCAACATCTAACTAACCCTAAGATTACCAGCATCTAACTAACCCTAACCATTACCAACATCTAACTAACTCTAAGATTACCAGCATCTAACTAACCCTAACCATTAGCAGCATCTAACTAACCCTAACCATTAGCAACATCTAACTAACCCTAAGATTACCAACATCTAACTAACCCTAAGATTACCAACATCTAACTAACCCTAACCATTATCAACATCTAACTAACCCTAAGATTACCAGCATCTAACTAACCCTAACCATTAGCAACATATAACTAACCCTAAGATTACCAGCATCTAACTAACCCTAACCATTAGCAACATCTAACTAACCCTAAGATTACCAGCATCTAACTAACCCTAACCATTAGCAACATCTAACTAACCCTAAGATTACCAGCATCTAACTAACCCTAACCATTAGCAACATCTAACTAACCCTAAGATTACCAGCATCTAACTAACCCTAACCATTAGCAACATCTAACTAACCCTAAGATTACCAGCATCTAACTAACCCTAACCATTAGCAACATCTAACTAACCCTAAGATTACCAGCATCTAACTAACCCTAACCATTAGCAACATCTAACTAACCCTAAGATTACCAGCATCTAACTAACCCTAACCATTAGCAACATCTAACTAACTCTAAAATTACCAACATCTAACTAACTCTAGCCTGAAATAAATACCTAAACCTAACCTAAACCTAGGAAAGACAGACAAAGCATTTCAGCTTTATAAAGCCAGAACATCGTCAATGTCGCTTCAAATTAGAAGTTAGCTTGAGCTAACTTAGCATGTAGAAGTCAAGGGTAACCCCTTGCTCACACTGGCTCCGGTGCGGTTACCGAGCCGACGGAGACCGCAACTCCCGCACACCCCCTCTCACACCGCCCTTTTGACTACGGTGCAGTGCGGCTCTGCGGCTCCGGCAACAGGTCCGGAGATTTAACAGAAGTTCACTTGAGTTCACGTAACTTCACGCGATAACACGGCCCAAATAAAGGATTTTTGCGAGAGCTTGTTGCGGAGGGCTCCGGCACGCCGCAAGGATAGCTTTCTTGCGGAATTTTCTGCAGCGCCGGAGTGTCTCGGTAACCGCAGCCGGACAGCTCAGCAGCCGGTGAGAGAGGTTTACGTCTTTTTAATGACTTGGAATCACTGCGGCGCTGCACACACCGCACCGCAACGGTAAGACCGGAGTCGGTGTGAGCCTGGGGTTAGGGTACCTGTGGAGCAGATATAAATGTTTGTGCTTGGTGCTTTGGAACTGCTCCTGTGCACAGGCGGTGGTTGCTCTGTCTGTCTTCATTTAGATGACACTGTTTCAACCCCCCTCCAGCCCCTCCTCCACCATCGTAGCTAGAGTTTCATCAGAGCGTCATTCCTCCTGGACTCTTACTGCGTTCCGCGTCTCATCTTAACCAGTCGTGCAGAAGGCCGCCATGTAGAGCCTGGTTCTGGATGGGGGGGGGGGGGGGGGGGGGGGGCAGGGAGTCCAAGCGCTTCTGGGCCCTTTGGACCAGTGAGGTGGTGTTTCCAGTCCAGGTGAGGGTGTCTGTGATGAATGTGGTGCTGCTGACCACCTCTACAGCTGAGCTGTTGATGAGCAGTGGAGCGTGGTTAGGCCGCTTCTTCCTGAAGTCCACCATGATCTCCTTGGTCTTCTCCACCTTCAGGATCAGGCTGTTATCTCTGCTCCACCAGCTGCTCCACCTCCTCTCTGTAGTCCAGGTCGTTGTCGTCTCTGATGAGGCCCACCACCGTGGTGTCGTCTGCAAACTTCACCATGTGATCGGTGGTGAACCTGGGGACGCAGTCGTGCGTCATCAGGGTGAACGGCAGGGGGCTCAGGATGCAGTCCTGAGGGGAGGGGCTTAGACTGATGACATCAGAGGTCCGACCCGGACTGACTGAGGTCTGTTGGTGAGGAAGTCTAGCAGCCAATAGCAGAGGGGTGTATTGAAGCCCAGCTGTTCCAGTTTGCCCATCAGATGCTGTGGGATGATGGTGCTGAAAGCTGAACTGAAGTCCAGGAACAGCATCCATCGTGGGTGTTCTTCTCCTCCAGGTGTGCCAGGCTCAGGTGGAGAGCAGCAGAGATGGCGTCCTCAGTGGAGCGGTTCCGTCGGTAGGCGAGCTGGAACGGGTGGAATGTTGGCGGCAGACTGGAGACGATGTGTTCTTTAACCAGCCTTTGGAAGCACTTCATCATGATGGGAGTCAGAGCGACAGGCCGCTAATCATTGAGGGAGGCGACCTGAGGCTTCTTTGGGACTGGAATAATGGAGGCAGACTGGAAGCATGCTGGCACTATGGATTGGTCCAGCCAGGTGTTAAAGATGTCTGTGAGGACACCAGCCAGCTGATCTAAACACTCCTTATACACCTGCCCAGGTGTGTTATCAGGCCCTGGGGCCTTCCTTGGATTGACTCTCCTCAGAGTTTTCCTCCCTTCAGCTACGTCCAGGTTTAGTGGCTCCTCCCCCTGCTTTGGAACAGCTTTCACTGCTGGAGGCTGTTTAGTGCCTCAAACCTTCCAAAGAAGTTGTTCAATTCATTTAGGAAGTCAGTGTTGCTGCATCTACCAGTCTTCCCTAACTAGTAGGCCACCACTCCCATGGATCCTGCTGTTCCTGTTTGGGTGCAAACCTCTGATAGAGCAGCGTCTTTTTTAGATTCCTGAACTTTTTCTGCCGCAGCCCTTTCTAGGGAGATGGACTGAACAGTGAAACCAGAGAGTGTCAGTGATTGGGCGGTGCCCCGTCCCCCTCCTGCAGTCACTGCGAGACGCGGATCCACAGCAGCGCGCTTCGTTTCTCTTTTGATCTGTTTTGTTTTGAGAAACATTTTAAACGTTTTTAATGGCTGTCTCACCTTGAATACTGGGTCCATCTGTCCCATTTTATCACATTCAATAAACAAAATGAAAAAACAAAGATGCCCACCAATTTTTAATTGTTCTATTACATTATACATTATATTTTAAATAGTGATCACCTCTTTCTATCGTCCATAAGACATATTCATTCTTCTCAGTCTTCTTTTCGTTGTTTTGTCCACTTAAAGGAATAGTACACCCAAAACATGATTAGCCTTCATTTTCTACTCACCCCCATGCTGAACAAAACTCTGGAGTACTTTTTTGATATCTCAAATGCATCTGGAGATCTGGGAGGCTTCTTGCTGTCTGTTGACATTCAAATAATGGAGGTCTATGGCGCCCGAGACAGAAAGGTCCATAAAAGTCCACAAAAACGTGTCAATATTCCTCCATACTGCTCGTCCAATGTATTCCAAGTGTCCTGAGTGGGTAGCGTCCAGAATTTACTCGAAACGAAGTCATTTAGAATGTTTTTAGAGCCTAAACAGTAGTGTATAGGATTTCCTAATAGCGCCCCCATGCGCGCTCACGATTCTACGGAAGCCGGCAGACCAAACCGGAAGTCAGCGTCAGCGCATTCAGCTCGGCAAAGAACTCATGCTCTTCCTCAACACTGAAGTCCTCAGACATTTTTCTTTCGTTGTTTCTTTCTTTGCACAGGTAAACAGCACATTTCTTCTTCTACGCTTGCATTACTGGCAGAGCAGACGCTGACTTCCGGTTTGGTCTGCCGGCTTCCGTAGAATCGTGAGCGCGCATGGGGGCGCTATTAGGAAATCCTATACACTACTGTTTAGGCTCTAAAAACGTTCTAAATGACTTCGTTTCGAGTAAATTCTGGATGCTACCCACTCAGGACACTTGGAATACATTGGACGAGCAGTATGGAGGAATATTGACACGTTTTTGTGGACTTTTGTGGACCTTTCTGTCTCGGGCGCCATAGACCTCCATTATTTGAATGTCAGCAGACAGCAAGAAGCCTCCCAGATCTCCAGATGCATTTGAGATATCAAAAAAGTACTCCAGAGTGTTGTTCAGCATGGGGGGGAGTAGAAAATGAAGGCTAATCATGTTTTGGGTGTACTATTCCTTTAAACACTTTTTTCACATCTCTCCATCCTTAGCTTTCCATCATGAAAACAAAGAAGTTTCTCATTGTTTGATTAAAATATTTTAAAAATATAAATGTGTTTTTGTAGATATAATATTGAACAACAGCACATTTTAAATATTGGCTAATTGGATTTTTTTTCCTACTAAAAAAGATTAAATCTCAGTATTTTGCTCAGATGGTACCAAAATGTGGCAACAGGTCAGACTTCCAATCCGTCTTTATTAAAGCCTCAGTATCTTTGCTTTAGTTCTCCTCAGCTGCATCAATCTGTCTACGGGTGGATCTGGGTTTCTAAAGGTCTGCAGTCTTATTCAGCATGTTTCTAAATGTTTATATTGTGTTTAATTAAAATAAATTCTAGCTCAGGAAAACAATCCTTTCCCTGTTTCCATATTTCCATGTTTCATCTGTGATAGTTAGACATCTGATTGGAGCTTTGAATTTATCTGGAAACTAATATTATTTGTATGAAGCTGCTGAGAAAACTTCAGTTAGATCTGGGAAAGTTATTGGAGCATGAATCCATCCGGGCTTTAGGTTAAACTGGTTCTAATGTTTAAACTGGTTTCTGACTAACTGGGATCCAGCAGGTTCCTCACATGTTCCTCTCTCTTCCAGTTCTCCATGAGGACCTCCGTATCACTGGCTGCTCAGAGTCTGATGGAGAGTTCATGTACGCTCTGGATGCTGAAGAGATGTGGTACGCTGACTTCAAGAAGGGAGAAGGAGTTCTCCCTCAGCCTCCTTTCATTGATCCCATCAGATTCCCGGATGATATTTATCAACATGCTGTGAATAATCTAGACATCTGCAGATCAAACATGAACACCCGTCGTATAAGTCTAAAGAACCCTCCACGGAAACTAGGTGAGAACAGGAACCTTCACATTTTCTGTCTCTTTGGTTTAAACGGTTAGATTTACAAAGTTTGTTTATCAGGCTGTTGGTCAGAAGGACTCCTGAAGGGTTAAGATTCAAACTAATTTAATGATTAATAGGAACTTTAAAATAAACTAGAACATGTCTGATGGTAACATGGTGATGATTTTGGAGAAAGGAGCATTGTTATTCTCATTATTGATTAATTTCTAGAGGGAGATCAACAAAATAAGATTTTTCCTGGTCAAAATCACACTCCTAGACTGAACTGTAATAATTATACTAGTAAGTATTTAGTTTTATATTTTTAGAAATCTTTCCATATTTTAAGTGGCCATTCTGACATTTTTCAGCTTGACTGAAAATGTATTTCTTATATCTGAAAAATAGTTTTTCATAGTCAAAATAATACAAATGCTGAACAGTAATATTAGGAATATGGAGATCTGAAATTAATTTCTAGACATTCAGAATGTTTATTCTAGATGTGGAGAATTTCATGATGTTTAAAATGTTAATTTAGACAAGAAATAATGTTATTTCAAATATCAGGAAAACATATTCAGTAAAACTAGTACATAAATAGAATAGATGTTTATCATCTCATGGGTTCCTCCTCATGTTGATTCAGTCTCTTTTCCACAGTAAATACTAAGTGTCTGTCTGCAGCCACTTCAGATGTTATCATCCTAATAAATGGTCGTTATTAGCGGCTATCGGTCCCATAGAATGGCTTAGATTGTGTCAGTAGGCTCAGCAGGTTGTTATCACAGAGTTAATCCTAATTCTAAAGTTATTTATTTTTCCCTGCAGAATTAATGAATCTATTTATGAGTAATCTGAAAATAATTTCAGTAGTTCTTCATGTGCTGTAAATATAACTAAATAAAAATAAAATTATCCAGATCTCACTCATATAAAACAAACCAAAAACAAGTATCTCTCTCTCTCTCTCTCTCTCTCTCTGAGTGCATGCTGGGAGTTTGGTGGTGGAGAGTGTGGCTGAGAGCTTGTGAGTAATCTCAAACTTTTCGTTTTTTCTTCTCTCTAACTGTTTACTGTATGATTGTTTGTTAATTGTTTATTTTTGTATCACCCCAAGTTACTGTGTGTTTGAGTGCTCTTGGGGGCCGGTAGGCCGTGTTTCTTGACAGGGATGGCATCCTCGGTGGCGCCGTCCCTGTCTCTGAAGCATGGGGTGAGGATTGTGCCTCAGCCCAGCACTACGGTGGAGCAGGTGCTGCTGGCAGTAGGAGAACAGGTGGGACATGGAAACATCTCATATGCCTCACGCATGAATAAGGCAGTGGTTGTGTTTCTAAAAAATCTGGAACATGTCAGTCAGCTCATAGAAAGCGGACTGGTCATGGATGATGAGTTTTTTCAGGTTTCCCCGCTGGCAGTGCCTTCGGTCCGGATCACCGTATCTGGTGTCCCCCCGTTTATTTCTAACGAGGCTCTGGAGACAGAGCTGAAGCGTTTTGGAAGATTTGCGAGCGGGTTCCGGGTGGTTAGACTGGGCTGTAAGGACGCCAAACTGAAACATGTTCAATCTCTGCGGAGACAAGTGTTTATGTTCCTAGATTCTCCAACCCAAACACTGGACGTTTCATTCCGTGTCAAACATGAACAGGGATACTACATGGTGTACGCCAGTTCTGGAAACATGAAGTGTTTTGAGTGTGGGGATGTGGGCCACAAGCGGGTGGCATGTCCCCACAGACAGAGTGTGGTGGGGCCCGCGGCGGGCGCTGCGGCGGGGCCCGCGGCGGGGGCTGCGGGGGAGGATAGCAGGGATGGGAGCAGCAGTGGCTGCTCCTGGTGATAATACTGAGGGAGACTGCTCCGTGGTAGGAACTGACAGTGGCTCAGTGGTCGGGGCTGAGGGTGATGGTTCCCTCCAGTTGGCAGACAGTGCTGTAGGTGAGGAAGAGGCTGTGGACAGGACAGGGCAGAGAGCGGATGACCTGGGGAGGTCAGAAAAGGATGCAGAGTGCAGTCCTGTGCAGGATGCAGAGCTTCTGCAGGTGAACCCTGATAGTGAGCCAGATGATCAGATGGAATCCACTCATGGCCATAATGATTCTGATTCTGATAGTTTCTCTATCGCAGACAGCTACTTTCAGAGTGTTGATTTGTATTCTCTGGAGGAAATCAATGGTTTCCTAGATGACACCTTTGGAAAAAAAGTGAATGTAAAAGATTATTTTCCTGATGTGGATAAATTTATTGAATCGGTCACTACTTTGCAGAGAGTTGTTGGTAATGATTTACTGGACAGCAAGAAACGTTTTCGTCTTAAGAAGCACGTCACAGGTCTAAGGAAAACTCTTAAAACAACAAAGGGTAAAATGTCAAAGAAAATGAAACTTTAACAAACAGTAACATGATTGCACAACACTGGGTGTTTCAATTCTGTTGGTTTTCCCTACTGGTCTGTCTCTATTCTCCTTACATGCAGGGTCTAAGAGTGGCCTCTTTAAACATAAATGGGGGTAGAGATGGAAAAAAAAGGGCTATATTAACAGATGTAATCACACAGAAAAGACTGGATGTAATTTTCCTACAAGAAACACACACTGATAGCACGAATGAAATAGATTGGGGCTTATGGTGGGGAGGGCAGCATGTCCTTAGCCATGGGACAAATCTAAGTGCTGGAGTTGCCATTCTGTTTTCTTCTAAGTTAAATGTAACTGTTATTTCCAGCACAGAAGTGGTGAAGGGCAGAATGCTTATGGTGAGAGCTGAAGTAGAGGGTTTCAGCTTCATTTTCATTCATTTATATGCACCAAACCAAGGCTCTGAGCGGGAAAAAACTTTTAAAATACTGAAGGAAGAACTAAATAATATTGGTACAGGAGAGTTTATTGTATTGGGTGGTGACTGGAACTGCTGCACTGATTTTACATTAGATAGGACCGGAGAGGAGCCACATGTTCAGTCCTCCTTGTTTCTGTCTCAAGTATTAACAAAAACCGATTTGGTTGATGTGTGGAGGATGAAACACCCTTCTGATAGGCAGTACACTTGGGTCAAAATATCAGATGGGAGAGTAAGTGCAGCTAGACTGGACAGGTTTTATCTACTTGCTTCTTTCACTACTAGAGTTCTTAGCTGTCAAATATTCCCAGTAGTTTTTACTGACCACCATCTAGTCTTAATGGAGCTGTTTCTCTCTCCCACTAGAAAACAAACATCTTTTTGGTGTTTTAATGTTAAATTATTAAAGGATCTTACTTTCTGTGAAAATTTTAAATTGTTTTGGGCCTACTGGAGTCTCCTGCCCTCCGGAAAGAGGTACAGAAGCCTACGGTCCAGAACCACCCGGCTGGCGAACACCTTCATCCACCAGGCCATCAGAATGCTGAACTCCCTCCACCCCCTCCCCACACGGTCTGCTCCAGCCACCAGGCAGACAGGAAGCTAAGACTGCCTCCCCCCTCTCTCTCTCTCTCTCTGTCTCTCTCTCTCTCTCTCACACACACCCACACTGTACCAGAGACTGCACCTTACCTGCACTACCTCAGCCTGGAACAAACTATTGCTGCTGTTTTTATTGCTTTTTATTGTAATGTTTATATTTCATACTTATATTTATCTTACCACTCTTACCTGTCATGTCCCGCACTTTATGTCAGTTTTTAAATGTTAGTCTTGTATATTTCTTGTATATTTGTATATTGCAGAGAGTAAACGTAATTTCATTTCCCTTGTATGTCTTGTACATATGTAGAAAATGACAATAAAAGCTGACTTGACTTGACTTGACTTGGAGATCCCAGAAAGATGATTTTCTTTCCCTGGCTCAGTGGTGGGAGGTAGGAAAAGCTCAGGTTAAAGTTTTTTGTCAGGATTATACAGTTGGTGTCACTACAAAAACCAAGAGAGCTGTGCAGGAGTTAGAGGACCAGATAAGGAACTTGGAAAATGCCCTTAAAGAGAATCAGCAAAATGATCTTTTACGATCAAAAAAGGGGGAGCTCAACTCTTTCCTGCAGGAGAGAGCAAAAGGAGCTTTAGTCCGAGCACACTTCACCAGACTACAGGACATTGATGCACCAACCACCTTCTTTTTTAACCTGGAGAAGTCAATTACTTCAAAAAAACAGATGGTGTGTCTCCGTCTCCCGGATGGGAAGGTGACCACAGACCCAACGGAGATGAGGAGGCATGCCGTGGACTTTTACACGGACTTGTACAGGGCGGACGGCTGTGATGTGGATGCTGCTGCGGAGCTTCTTCAAGGACTTCCTCAGTTGGATCCAGGAGATCGGGAGGCTCTGGGTTTGGAAATAACTCTGGATGAACTGACTGCTGCTGTGTCTCAGATGATATCTGAAAAGGCTCCGGGAATAGATGGTCTGCCTTCAGACTTTTTTAAACATTTCTGGACCATCATGGGACAGGACCTTTTGGATGTTTTTAAAGAGTGTCTTATGAAAAAGACACTTCCAGCTTCTTGTAGGCGTGCAGTTCTTTCTTTGCTCCCTAAGAAGGGAGATTTAGCCCTTTTAAAGAACTGGAGAGCAGTAGCTCTTTTATGTACAGACTACAAGATTCTTTCAAAAGTCTTATCAAACAGACTGAAAACTGTTATTGATTTTCTAATTGGTGCAGATCAATCATATTGTGTACCTGATAGGTCTATGGTTGATAATTTGTTTTTAATGAGAGATGTTTTTGATATTTGTAAAATTTATGACATTAATGTTGGTATCATATCCATTGACCAGGAGAAGGCCTTTGACCGAGTGGATCATGATTTTCTTTTTCTGTCTTGGGTAAAGCTGTTGTATCGAGATGCCTGTTGTGTGGTGAAGGTGGGAGGTGGGTTGAGTGTTCCAGTGCCAGTTAGGAGAGGGATCAGACAAGGCTGCCCCATTTCAGGCCAGCTTTACAGTATTGCCATTGAGCCTCTCCTCTGTCGGTTGAGGAGTAGACTGCGTGGTCTCTCCCTGCCAGAGTTGGCTAACATGCCCCCTGTTATTGTATCAGCATATGCTGATGATGTAAACATATTTATTTGTAATGAGGGAGACATTCAAGAGTTACAAGAAAGTTTGTCCTTGTATGGAAAAGCTTCCTCTGCTAAGGTGAACTGGGGAAAAAGTGAGGCTTGTTTAGTGGGGGAGTGGGGTGTGGGGAGCATTCCTTGTCTTCCTGGTAACCTTAAGTGGGGAAAAAGGGGTATAAAAAGTTTTTCTAGGGAATGAGGATTTTCAGAGACAGAACTGGGAGGGAGTGCTGGAAAAGGTAGAAGCCAGGTTGTCTAAATGGAAATGGTTGCTACCTCACCTGTCCTATAGGGGAAGAGCTCTGATAGTGAATAACCTGGTTGCATCATCTCTGTGGCACAAGCTCATCGTGTTGGTGCCACCATCAGGCCTACTGAAAGAAGTGCAGCAGCTCCTGGTTGACTTTTTCTGGTCTGGTCAACACTGGCTGAGGGCATCGGTCTTGTATCTCCCTGTGGCAGAAGGAGGACAAGGACTTGTAGACATTCTGTCCAGAACCGCGGCTTTCAGAGTGCAGACGGCACAGAGGCTGTTGTATGGCTGCAGTCGCTGCTGGTTAGCTCCTGCTCAATTGCTACTTAGGTATGCTGGACGGCTTGGACTGGATAAGCAGTTATTTCTGCTAAGACCATCTGAAGTTGACCTGACAGGACTCACACCCAGAGGCGGATCTAGGGGGTGGCTACTTGGGCTTCAGCCCCTGATGTTTCCCCAAAAGCCCCGGATCCTCGCTTTTGAGCTGATCTGAGTAAAATGTGAAGTACTGGAATTCACCAGATGGTGGCAGCATGTCCAGGAAAGCAGCCTGTAGCATTGCCACGCAGAAGAAGAAGTGTTTCCCTCTCGTCATTGCCAGCTTCAGGAGTCGTGCACCTCCGCGCAGCAAATTTAAACAGGGATAGGCCAGTGGCGGATATCAATGGATATCAGAAGCTTTTTTTAAAAAGCAAACAGCTGGACCACCAGCACCACCACCAGTTGTTGCTAAACAGACTGATGTCCCAGGTATGTGAAGCTTTGACTGAATCAGAGCCTTTTTTTCTCCCGGTCTGCTGGGAAATTCTGTTCCCCTAAATCTGTCCTCCCTGTATTGGTAGCGTGCATTGAAGCCAGATCGGCGCATCTGGCGGATCTGCGCTTCTGATCCATTTCTTGGTAAAAATAACTCACAATCATGTAAAGGTTGTAGCATCAAGTTTAAACGACAGCTGTTGTTTGAAAAATTGTAAAATAAATAAGTAGACGAGGTCTTCTTACACCGTTTTGTTTTTAAAGGGCAATGTGAAATATGAGAGATTACTGGATTAAGGGAATTTTTAGTATGTGACATGATATCACACATAACAATTTTTGGGAATTTGGAAACAGTTTCTCTTTATTTATTGGGGGGGGGGGTGTTAATTCACCTGCAACACTAACTGTGTTTATTCCTCTCTTCATCAACAACAAACTCTGTGGATTTGGAATACATTTGATCATTTTTTACCAGAGTTATGAGAGGGAAATTAAATACTTTAGCCACCTGATATAATCCATTCCCCCATGGGAAAAAAAGAAACAAATCCTCCATTATTTTTCATATATTATGTTTTAAACATTTATTATTTTATATTTTGAAATCCAAAATAGTTCAAATAAATCTCACTGTTTGTTTGATGATCTTTATGAAATGTAATTTTAATTCTTAATTTAAAATGTCAGTGGTTTTAGTTTCAACTTTTTTTGTAAATTTTTAGATAAATAAATAACAGAAAATACATTTGATAAAGATCATAAAGGGGGGAACAGATTATTTCAGTCAGCTAAAATATATGGTTCCCCTCCTTTAATTTTGGCAAATAATGCACACATGTCAACAAATCCACATGATTTGTTGTTGGTGAAGAGAGGAATAAGCACAGTTTAAGGAACTGTGTGCTGTTTAATGTTTTAGCTGATTTTCCCCATTTCATTTCATTGTATTTATTATATTTTTTTAATTGTTCTCTTATATTATTTTATGATTTTTTTATTTTATTATGTATTTTATATGTGCAACACTTGGTCAACATGTTTCTGTTTTAAATGTGCTATATAAATAAAGTTGATTGGGTTGGATGAGATGGTTCTCAGCGCCTCTCTGCTTGCATAAATTAAAGTACACACAAATTATGGTTTTGTGTGCGAGGCGGCAAAAAAAAAAGAGATGGAAAAAAGGAGTCAACATCTGCACCCTCAGGGCTAAGCCCCTGATCTCCTAGAATCCTAGATCCGCCCCTGCTCACACCTTTCTACACCTCGGTGATTAATGCCTGGCAGACACTGAAGACACATTATTAACCTGTAACACATTATATTTTAGTACGTTTACTATTGTTGGGGAGGGAAAAATGTAATTTAGGTCTTTTAAACAACATAAAATGGAAAACGACCCAAATGTATCTGGATGTGCATGCACAGAACAGATCATGCTTCGGACGGATCGGGTAGTGACAATGATCACTACTTTTCAAGGTGGGCAGGTGTTTGGACATAGTCTCTGAGTTTGCTGAAAAAAACCTGCTGCTGAGCAGCTTAGCTCTGGGAGAATGTTACTATGGCAACACAAACAGAGGTTGAGGAAACTCTCTTAGTGAAATGGAATAGTCAATTTTCCTGATTTGTAGAAAACTTAGAGTTTACAGTGAACCTGCTTCATGAGATGGAGCCCAGATGTTGAGCTTTAAAGGAATAGTACACCCAAAACATGATTAGCCTTCATTTTCTACTCCCCCCCATGCTGAACAACACTCTGGAGTACTTTTTTGATATCTCAAATGCATCTGGAGATCTGGGAGGCTTCTTGCTGTCTGCTGACATTCAAATAATGGAGGTCTATGGCGCCCGAGGCAGAAAGGTCCATAAAAGTCCACAAAAAACGTGTCAATATTCCTCCATACTGCTCGTCCAATGTATTCCAAGTGTCCTGAGTGGGTAGCGTCCAGAATTTACTCGAAACGAAGTCATTTAGAATGTTTTTAGAGCATAAACAGTAGTGTATAGGATTTCCTAATAGCGCCCCCATGCGCGCTCACGATTCTACGGAAACCACGGCAGACCAAACCAGCGCATTCAGCTCGGCAAAGAACTCATGCTCTTCCTCAACACTGAAGTCCTCAGACATTTTTCTTACGTTGTTTCTTTCTTTGCACAGGTAAACAGCACATTTCTTCTTCTACGCTTGCATTATCGGTAGAGCAGACGCTGAATGCGCACTTTCATCTGGTTTGGTCTGCCGTGGTTTCCGTAGACTCGTGAACGCGCTTTCAGGAAATCCTTTACACTACTGTTTATGCTCTAAAAACATTCTAAATGACTTCGTTTCGAGTAAATTCTGGATGCTACCCACTCAGGACACTTGGAATACATTGGACGAGCAGTATGGAGGAATATTGACACGTTTTTGTGGACTTTTATGGACCTTTCTGCCTCGGGCGTCATAGACCTCCATTATTTGAATGTCAGCAGACAGCAAGAAGCCTCCCAGATCTCCAGATGCATTTGAGATATCAAAAAAGTACTCCAGAGTTTTGTTCAGCATGGGGGTGAGTAGAAAATGAAGGCTAATCATGTTTTGGGTGTACTATTCCTTTAAACTGTAGCAGAGTTTTTGATTCTGTGCTGAATTGAGGCGGGACTAGAACAGCAGAACCAGCTGCTGATAAACTGATCACAGTGATTCCTGTTTCTGTTCAGACTGACTTCAGACTGACTTTATGATCACCGTCAGTCTCCAGTCTGGTTCCTCTGAACTTTTAATAATGACTCCGTTAATAATAGAATAACATTTCTGCTTCTTTCCTCCATTTCGACACAGGAGCCATTCATTGTTCTGGTTCTGCAGCTCTATGAATGATGCTTCACCTCATAGCAAAGGAAGAATTATGAGGCAGAGAAGCCAGAGTGGTTTATTATTCATTGATATCAGACCTAAAGCTACGAATAAACCAGGACCCTTTCATTCTGGGTCAGAACCATGATGATTGCTGAGGACATCAGTGTCTTTCTGTGTAGATAGAGGTTTAGATCTTCTAGAGGTCTTCTTCAACCAGAGGTCATCAGGGGTCTCTGAGGTCGTCCTTTAGCTGTTGATGTTCTGATTCCTCAGAATAAACCTGCTTTAGGTTCTGATGATGACAGCAGAGCTTCAGAGGAGCCCAGCATGTTCCTGTTCTGGTGATGCTCTAACCTCTGTCTCCTCAGAATCTCCATCCAGCCTGATGGTCTACTCCAGAGATGATGTGGAGCTGGAAGAGAAGAACATCCTGATCTGTCATGTCTCTGGTTTCTATCCTGCTCCTGTCAACGTCTCCTGGACCAAGAATGGCCAGAAGGTGACTGAAGGAACCAACATCAACAACCCCTACCCCAACAAGGACATCACCTTCACCCAGATCTCCAGACTGGACTTCATCCCTCAGCTGGGAGACGTCTACAGCTGCTCAGTGGAGCATCAAGCCCTAAAGGAACCAATGACCAGCAGCTTTGGTGAGGAACCTTCATAGAGGAACCAGGCTGACCCTATACAGGGTGGACATCATGTCTCTGTCCTCTGTCCCCAGACGTGGACCTGAACGTCCATCAGCCCAGTAATGGACCCACCGTGTTCCTTGCAGTCGGTCTGACCATCGGGTTCCTGGGCGTCGCCGTGGGAACCTTCTTCCTGGTCAAAGGAAACCAGTGCATCTGATTGGCTGCAGCTGATGATGTCATCAAGAATTAACCCAGATGTTAATCATTAATCTAGAACCTCTTCAATAAAACTCTATCAATGTTTCTCTATTAGACAGAAGTTTTACCAGTTAATCTAAACTCTTGATGCCTCACAGTGAAACATAAACAGCTTTAATAAAAACTCTGATCAATAACTGGATCATTGGTTCAGAGGAAAACAGGCTGAGGTTCTGGATCAGTACCACTTTATAAAGAACCAGAACCTAATGATTCAATTTTTTTTTTATTAAATCCAAGAAAAAAATAATATCTGAAAGGGGAAAATAATTTAGAAATTAAAATAAAAATGTTGGAGAGAACAACTGTTCACACTGAGAAGAAACTGAGATTGATTAAAAAGTTTTGACAGCAAACATTTTGTCATAGAATTAATGAAAGATAGAACTTCAGTCTCAGTTTTTCCTCTGGATGGTTCTTGTGATTTTATAATCTTTGTTTCTGTCCTTCCTTTGATGCTTTGTTGTTTCATGAAAACCAAAACCTGAATCTGTCCATCTGGTTCTGACCCAAAGCCGGTGATGAAAACAGAACCTGAGGAAACATTTTCTCAATGCTGTAAAACCTCAAAACACAAACTTCAGCGATCTGTCAAGATCTATGAAACAGAACAATATCAGGTGATGAGAAAACATAGAAAATTATTTTTGAATATATCTCCTTTTCTCTAATAAAAACATCTAAACATGACCCTAGGCTGTTTTCAGGTTTATTCAAACCAGTTTACTCTAAAGCCAGGATCCACATCATGTTACCTCAATAAACATTTCACCAACTGACATTGGTGAAATGTTAATGGTAAATGGCATGTACTTGTATAGCGCCTTTATTCAAGTCATTAGACTTGACCAAAGTACTTTACTCTACATTCAGTCCTTCACACACACACTGATGGTGGTGAGCTACATTGTAGCCACAGCTGCCCTGGGGCTCACTGACAGAAGCGGGGCTGCCGTACACTGGTAAAAGGCTGATTCAATATTTTACCTCTTGTTCAGAGTAGATTTGTTTTCCTTTTACTGTAACATGGCCACTAGAGGGTGCAACTGCTGCTGAGTGCAGATCAGCTGATCTTAGTGTGAGCAGTCAACATAGGTATAGTCAGGGACTTAAGCCATAATGTACTTTCAAATTGTCTGCAACCTCCATGAAACTTTACAAAAGAAGATGAAGAAGACTGCTGCTGTATCGTGTCCACTACATGTTCTGACTGTTTTGAATATGAAAGGTTAAGAGCAGCCTTGTAATGCTATCTTAGACACTATTGGCTTTGTACAAAATGTGAATAGTCCCCCAAAAGAAGGTTTCACTTCAGCAGATCTTTATCAGATAGTGCAGTTATAAATTTTAAAGAATCTGCTTCACTTTCTCTCTCCTCTGTGTCGCTGAGCAGTGCTGCAGAGTGCAAAAGCTTAGCTTATTCCCCTTCACAGGTTGATGATTTTGTTGATGGGGTTGCTAGTTCTCCGCGTATTGCCTTAGACAACGCAGCTCCTTTGAAAATGAAAACCGTTAAAAATAGAAAGCTTGCTCCTTGGTTTAATGCAGAGCTGCGTACTTTGAAGCAAAATGCTAGGAAACTGGAGAGAAAATATCGCTCCACAGGCCTGCGGGAGTCCTTCCTAGTCTGGAAAAATGGTTTACTGCTGTATAATTCTTAGACACTGAAACAGCTCTGGTGAAAACACTGATATTCTCATGGCCTCAGATTATGTCACTGATGCCTGACCTGATTACTTATTTCACAACCTGCTTATTACTGCCAAGTTCTCATTACCACTCATCAGAGCCACCTGCATCATTCTCTATTTAACCAGAATTCAGACCAGTCATCAGTGCCAGATTATTTTGAGCTGTTGTTGGGACTTATAGTAGCGTTCCCATGTTTTGATTACCTGATCCTGACCTGTTCTGCCTCTCGACCTCTGAGCTTGTATTTTACAGTCTGATCTGTTTGCATGACATGCCCTCTGTCTCCTGCCTCATCTTTCCCTGCCTGGTAAATATACCTGTAACTGTGACTGTCTTGGATTCTCCTTTGGCACCTCCCCGGATCTATCAGCTCCTTCTCTAAAAAACGAGCATGTCACCGACAACAACTTTGGTTTCACCCTCTGGATTCTCCTGCCTTCATCGGTCAGCTTGGTTCTGATCTCCTGCCTGTCCTGCGACCTCCGATATATCAGTGTCTGGGACTCTCTGGACGATTTCTGCCGCATCTAGCTGGCTGGAACCAACCTCTTCCTCTGGGCATGGACTGAACTATAGGACCAGGTTAGCAGTGTTGTGCCTGAACGCGTTCATTGAACGAAAGTTCATGAACTCGTTCATATTTTGGTCGAACGTGAACTGAACGTACTGCATTATTGCCTGATGAACGTTTTTGTGAACTCGTTCATTCTGGTGTCTGTGAACGGCACGCTCTCTCAGTTCAACTCCGTTCAATAGGTTGCCAGATTTCTATAGAGCCCTCCAGGCGAAACCCCGGCTAAATCACACCGTAAACAGGCCTTAATATGTAGCGGGAAAAACACCCAATCTGGCAACACCAGCTACCAGCGTCGTAGCCTACAGCCGCGTGCGTCATCAAAACAAAATGCAGCGTGGAAGCCACAGCAGCATGGAGGCGACTTAAAACAGGTTTATGACCAGGTGGTCGGTGAGGACGATGGCAACAAGTTTGCCCGCCGGCTTTCAGTAAAAAAATCCGCACTTCAGTAACCTTAAATTCCTACCTCAGCCTGGTCCCTCAGTTTGTGTTAGTGAAATCTTCTTGAGCGGAGGTCTTCAACAGGGGATCCGCGACCCCTAGGGGGTCTACGGAGGTACTACATGAGGGTCTGCATGGTTAGTTGATATTTTTATATTCCCCCCTGCAATTTTTTTCCCCACTAATTGAAATGTCTTTAAATACTCATTAACATGAATTCAACACACTGTAGTAAACAGATAAATGGAGACAGAAGATGTCTTTCAGTCATCAATGCTCACATTCAGCGACACACAGGAGCTCTTTCAAGCTGGGCACCGTTTCCTTCACAACAACCAGGAATCAGAATCAGAAAAACTTTAATAATCCCAGGGAGAAATTAATTTCTTTACATTACTCCATCTGTAATAGAGTGACTATAGGACACAATTTCATACAATATATATAGTTAGGGGGTCCCCGCTCCATCTCGCCATCAGTTTGGGGGTCCTTGGTCTGGAAAACATAGAAGACCCCTGTTCTTGAGGGTTTTACTATCCATGTAACTTGTTTGTTAAACCTGCCTGGTATAATTTTCCAGGATTCCAGGATTCCTTTTTAGTATGTATTGAAATGGAATTTCAAATGGAAAAAATTATTAAAATAAAAAAAAAAAAAAAGCACCTTAAAGACTACTTTCCTGTTTTTCTTTTAATAATTCCTCATAAAAAGACCATTCAAGCAGCACATTTTTCCTGATGTTTTTGAGAATATACTGTAGGGGTGAAAGCTGCAGCTGCTACTAGTGTGAAGTGAATGGACAGCAACAAAGCGTTAAAGCAACAATGGGGAAATGCTGTCCCCTCAATGCTAATGGAAACCCTGGTTGGATAAGGATTCAAAACTGGATATGAAGATGAAATCTGACGCACAGTTTCAGAGTTACAACTGATAAAATAATTGCTGTCTGTGGTTCTACAGTAGGCTATGGTGTAATTGAGCAATATATGAAAAAAAAAAAAGAACTATGAACTAGTTCATTTTTTGGTTTTGAATTATGAACTATGAACTGAACTAGTTCATTTTAAAATGTGTGAACTGAACTTTGAACTAGTTCACGTAGAAAGAGAACTTTCCCAACACTGCAGGTTAGTGACTCACATATTTGAGATGATCCGCTCCTAGAAAGACATGGTAACTAGAGCATGAAACGGGCCTTGAAAGTCAGCCCGAAACCGACCCGAGTCCGAAAGAACCAGGCCCGTGCCCGGCCCGTTATGATTGACAGCTTCGTAGAGCCCGACCCGTTTGCAGCCCGACATTTTTCAATTGTGCGCATTAAGGGCTAATCTCCGTTTCACTTCTGTAACATCCATTTTGCATTCATCGCGTATAGATCGAACGTTATCACATGATCATTTATTTGCCGAGCATATAACAGTTTAAAGCCCGAGCCCGGTCCGAATGAAATAATAAAAAGTACAGCCCGAACCCGCCCGAACCCGGTAGGACCTCTCGGGTCCTGCCGGGTTCGGGCTAATATTCCCTGCTCTAATGGTAACTAACCTGTTGTCTCCTCCTGAGAGGTTCCTGCCTTAGACATGCCATCCACCCGATTCTGTTGTAATTAAAACATTCTGAGAAATTTTGTCCGCCTCGAATTACTGGATCTTTTTGTTCTAAACCCTGACAGAAAATGAACTTGTGTCTGTTCTTGTCCTGTTAGATTTCTATCCCAGCAGCACTGTTGGATTTAATTAATTACAAAATCATAGTTATATTTTGTATTGTAACAATAATTAATAATAAACTGTTTATAATAATTATACATTTTTACCCAATCACCTAAATTCACACAGGTATTTTGATGCTAACTCATATTTCCTGTTAGGCTGCATTCAACACCTTCTTTCTTGATATTATCTCCTGTGGATCAGAAACCTTCAGGCAGAAGTTCTACCCAGCAACCAGTGGAAAGGGGGCGGAGCCTGTTCTCCAGGTTGTAACAGCTGATCTCTGATCAGTCAGATCCTCTGCTGGACGCTGACAGAGAAACATGTCTTCATCACTGCTCTGCTGCTGGTTCCTACTCCTCTTCATCACCATCCATGCTGCCGGTAGGTTCAATAATCTGAACAATATTATGATTGATAAGAATAATCAAAGATCATTAAAGTTGTAATATCAATGATTATCAAAGGTAATTATGGTTATAATATCAATAATTATCAAAGATCACTATAGTTCTAATATATATAATTATTAGCAGATAATTTACCCTACTATTAAAACATTAAATTAATAAAATGATCATAGATCATAGAACATAAATCCATCATTCATTCAGTCAGCAGTACTGAGGTTCTGTTCTGGTTCTGTTTCTCAGATGGGTTCGAGAACTATGTAGTGGGTCTTTGTGAGTTTACCTCCCCTGAGCTGAAGGACATCGAGTACATTCGCTCAGAGTTTTATAACAAAGAGGAGCTCTTCAGGTTCACCAGCAGTTTGGGGAAGTTTGTTGGATTCACAGATTACGGCATCTTCCAGGCAGAATACCGAAACAATGATACTGTATTAATTCAGGCACTGAGAGCTGAGAAGGAGAGATACTGCCAACACAACATTGGTATCTTCTACTCCAATGCTCTGACTAAATCAGGTGAGTTTTTGTGTTGAATCTCCTCCTGATGATCCTCAGATCATCTCTGACTAAAGATCACATTCACTGGATTTTAACCAATAGAAACTTCTGCTTCATTAGATTCTAGTAATTAATTACTGATGATATGTTTCTAATTACATAAAACTAAGACATTACTTTCAGGATGAAATTAAGATCTAATAAATTAAATCAACATCTGGGGAAAAATATTATAAAAAATCTAACTTAGGTTTTTGATGCATTTGTTCACTAATATCAAACAAACATTAATTTATTGAATGGGAAAATATTTTTAGGAAGCAAGTTACATGAATAATTCCTCAATATTAATGTTTATAGTATTTATCAGTGTGAGTGAACGGGTGAATGACTGAATGTAGCATAAAGTGTTTTTTCAAATCCTCTGACTTAAATCGAGTCCAATCAAAACTCAGAGTCAGATCCTTAATAGAATTCACAAAATAGAATATTAATATAATAATAAATTATTAACATATTAATAGAGTACACTCCTCTTTTAATAGACAGTTAAGTCTGGCTCATTATTTTATTGAAACTGATTAAAAGGTTTCTGACTCAGAAAAAAAACATGAGAGTCTGAAAAATACAAGAAATAATTGATAAAAATTCAACAAGATACATAAGAAAATAATATAAATATAGAATTCAGAGGAATTAATTAATTTTAAGTAAAATAAATATTAGCCTTTAATCATAGAAAAAAAATGTTTTGATAGTTAAATAAAAATGATATTCATCTCACCAAAACAAATCCAACTAATCTGTAAAACTGAATATCTTCTTACTAAATAATTAATCTCTACCTGCAATTCATATTTTTATCAAAGTAATACTAATATGGTTTTACTTCATGGAGTATTGCTTCCATCACTTTACTCATAACCCTAACCCTCATAACCCTCAGAGTTCAGCTTTTGTTTTGTATGAAACTTAATTTTTAAGTTCTCTTTTTAAAAAGGGCTCCATAAAATAAAAACTCACAGGTCAACTGAAAAGATTTAAGTTTTAAGTTTTGATTTCAAAAGAAATAAAAAGATTTTTTTTATTTTGTCTCTTTTATTCTTCGAAAGATGTTAATTGTCTTTGTTTTAGGAAAATTTTTGAGGTAAGGAAGGTAATATCCATCAGTCTCTACTTAAGAAATAAAACAATGTATAATATTAAAATAAAAAATACAGACATGACTATAGTTGGTAAAACACAGTTTTAGTCCAGAATATTTCACTGGTTTCTCAGATGGAAATATCAGGTCTCTCTTTTCCTCATAAATTCAATTCCATTCTATTCAGTGTATTTCTATAGCTCCAATTCCCATCATGTCATCTCAGGTCACTTTCCAGTTCACCAGATCATCCAGTCAGATTGATTCAAAGTTTTCTATCTAAGGAAAACCAGCTGATTGCATCGACTCATTGACTCTTCAGCAATCCCTCACACTAAGCATGCTTGTAGCGACAGTGGAGAGGAAAAACTCCCTTTGAACAGGAAGAAACCTCCAGCAGAACCAGGCTCAGTGGGAGCGGCCATCTGCTGAGGCCCACTGGGGTTCAAGGAGACAGAAGCAGACATAGAAAAAGAAGCATAGATACAAAAGGCAACTGTCAACCAGCTCCACAGGCGGCCCCGTCCAGGAAACACACAGCCAGGCAGACGAGCTCCGAGCCAGCTCCCATGTCAGAGGATGAAGAGAGCACATCCAGTTAGTCACAGTCAGAGAAACAGGACTACACTGGAAAACAGGCCAAGCTCCAACATCTAGAAACAAAGGTGTTGATGGCAGCAGCACAGCTGACATTTCTCTCCAGGATGGAGTCACAGCCAACACCATCATTCATCAGATCAGCAGGTCTCTTTTCTCTTAGTTCATTCTCAGTAATTATCCTGCTTTAATTAACACAGACTGTCCCAATTATAGCTGGTTTATTGCCTGAATGTCTGTCCTCGTCTCTAAAGCAAAACATGTTTGTTGTTGGGAATATTTGAGAACTGAAAGGCAGGTTGGAAATGAGCTGAATGTTATTGTAGTTGTTCGTATCTGACCCAGCTCTCCTCAGCGTAGCAGCAGAAGCGAGTAACTGTGGTTTTAAAGAGGAAGGAACAATCCCAGCAGTAAGAGAGGAATGAATAATGCGCTTATGATCAGGAGCAAAGGCTGCAGACAGGATTGGACCAGATATGATGGGATCAGTAGAGCTACAGAGTGAGTTGGACAGATGGGAGCTGATTGTTAGAGGATGACTGAGAGGAGAGATGGATTTCAGAAGAAGATACAGCAGATGACTTTGGAGACGTGATGAATTCTGTTGATTTTGTCATTGCAGCTCTACAGGAGTTTGATGATTGGAAATGAGGGGTAATTAAAACATCAGAGGGTCAAAAAATCTTCTTAAACTATGAAAACAAAGTCTGAGCTTCCTTCATTGGAGCAGATTAATGCAGAAAATAAGCTGGATTTGAGTAATTGAGTCCATATATTGTTCTATGTGAGTTTTTGAGATTTCTTCTTATATCCTAACAGAAAGATTTTACAGTCTAATCACTGAGCCAGCCTCAGACTGGTAATCTGTGATCCCACAGTGGGCCGGTCCTAATTACAGCATGCGAGCGCCGGCCCTCCTTAAATCATACCGGCCCCAGGGTCATTCCAGGAAAACTGTTAAGTTTGGGTCCATAACATTCAAAGAGGAATAGGAGGCATAAAAAAACTGCCAGTAATACTTTAAGTGTCTAAAGCCATTGATTCAAGTTTAGTTGGTAAAATAAAATTTAATGATAAATATATCCATATGTCCATCAATTTCATATTCCACCACGTCACACCAATGTCATTTTGCGCCAAAATGCAATACACTTCCTAGAAGTGACATCACTAAAATGAAGCGACATCACTAACATGAAGTGACATCATTGGTGAGTTCTGGTTTTCCTTTAAGAACATTTTTCCTTCAAAATCCTGTTAACCATAGCATATCCACCCCGTCACTCACAAAAAGTGGGGAAAACAATTTGTTAATCAAATTATGAAATTATTTTTGTATTAATCATTCATTTTTCATTGTACTTTAATGCTAACGGCATCATCAGGTTTTAACATATCCAGAAATTGAGCCATATTGCTTTAGATTTTCCACCCCGTCACACTAAAGCCTGTGATGGGGTGGAATCATTGTGATGGTGGCAACGTTCTTCATATTGAATTAGTATTATGGAAGTAAATATGTGCCATCAGAATTTGAATAAAAAATACCTCTGAAATTTGAATGTTGTATTAGTGCTTACTTTTTCAGTATAAAAATAAATTCAGAATATATTTTTAACCTAAAAAATATTCAATGTCATTATTTGTACATTAAAAAAAATTCAGTGTAATTTTTTTTACATGGTTGCAATTTTCAGTTATTAAAAAAATTCACATTCCTATTTCAAAGTGATGAAATTTTCAATATACATATTTTTCACAGTTTAAATTTTCAGTGTTAAAAAATTCAGCATATAAAAAATTCAACTTTTCAAAATTCAAATGCAATATTTTCGTTGTCCTCCAATTCAACTTGCTCAAATTCACTGTCTCAAATTCAGCGTCTAAAAATTCGCTGTAAAAATGGCCAAGGTTACTTCAGGTCACAGACATTAGCAATGGATGTCCGATTCCAACATCCACCTAATCACGTGACACAACCGTCATATTGAAGAAGTACCAGTATCACCCAGGCTGGCGACCATGGAGGCGAACTCAAACCCAACGGTGAGTTTAATGCTTTCATATTTCTGTACTATATTTTATTTTGCGCATGAAGTTTGATACATTATCTTAAAGCCTGATTTAAAACACTGGTTTGGGCCGTTGTTAATCTTACACCGTGTAGTGCCGGCATATTACTTCTCGCTACCTCCGAGCTACCCCCCCAAACCAGTGTTTTAAATCAGGCTTCACCGTTGGGTTTGAGTTCGCCTCCATGGTCGCCAGCCTGGGTGATACTGGTACTTCTTCAATATCACGGTTGTGTCACGTGATTAGGTGGATGTTGGAATCGGACATCCATTGCTAATGTCTGTGACCTGAAGTAACCTTGGCCATTTTTACAGCGAATTTTTAGACGCTGAATTTGAGACAGTGAATTTGAGCAAGTTGAATTGGAGGACAACGAAAATTTTGCATTTGAATTTTGAAAAGTTGAATTTTTTATATGCTGAATTTTTTAACACTGAAAATTTAAACTGTGAAAAATATGTATATTGAAAATTTCACTTTGAAATAGGAATGTGAATTTTTTTAATAACTGAAAATTGCAACCATGTAAAAAAAATTACACTGAATTTTTTTTTTAATGTACAAATAATGACATTGAATTTTTTTTAGGTTAAAAATATATTCTGAATTTATTTTTATACTGAAAAAGTAAGCACTAATATACAACATTCAAATTTCAGAGGTATTTTTTATTCAAATTCTGATGGCACATACACTATATTGCCAAAAGTATTTGCTCACCCATCCAAATTATTGGAATCAGGTGTTCCAATCACTTCCATGGCCACAGGTGTATAAATTCAAGCACCTAGGCATGCAGACTGTTTTTACAAACATTTGTGAAAGAATGGGTCGCTCTCAGGAGCTCAGTGAATTCCAGCGTGGAACTGTGATAGGATGCCACCTGTGCAACAAATCCAGTCGTGAAATTTCCTCGCTCCTAAATATTCCACAGTCAACTGTCAGCTGTATTATAAGAAAATGGAAGTGTTTGGGAACGACAGCAACTCAGCCACGAAGTGGTAGGCCACGTAAACTGACGGAGCGGGGTCAGCGGATGCTGAAGCGCATAGTGCGAAGAGGTCGCCAACTTTCTGCAGAGTCAATCACTACAGACCTCCAAACTTCATGTGGCCTTCAGATTAGCTCAAGAACAGTGCGCAGAGAGCTTCATGGAATGGGTTTCCATGGTCGAGCAGCTGCATCCAAGCCATACATCACCAAGTGCAATGCAAAGCGTCGGATGCGGTGGTGTAAAGCACGCCGCCACTGGACTCTAGAGCAGTGGAGACGCGTTCTCTGGAGTGACGAATCGCGCTTCTCCATCTGGCAATCTGATGGACGGGTCTGGGTTTGGCGGTTGCCAGGAGAACGGTACTTGTCTGACTGCATTGTGCCAAGTGTAAAGTTTGGTGGAGGGGGGATTATGGTGTGGGGTTGTTTTTCAGGAGCTGGGCTTGGCCCCTTAGTTCCAGTGAAAGGAACTCTGAATGCTTCAGCATACCAAGACATTTTGGACAATTCCATGCTCCCAACTTTGTGGGAACAGTTTGGAGCTGGCCCCTTCCTCTTCCAACATGACTGTGCACCAGTGCACAAAGCAAGGTCCATAAAGACATGGATGACAGAGTCTGGTGTGGATGAACTTGACTGGCCTGCACAGAGTCCTGACCTCAACCCGATAGAACACCTTTGGGATGAATTAGAGCGGAGACTGAGAGCCAGGCCTTCTCGTCCAACATCAGTGTGCGACCTCACAAATGCGCTTCTGGAAGAATGGTCAAAAATTCCCATAAACACACTCCTAAACCTTGTGGACAGCCTTCCCAGAAGAGTTGAAGCTGTTCTAGCTGCAAAGGGTGGACCGACGTCATATTGAACCCTATGGATTAGGAACGGGATGTCACTTAAGCTCATATGTGAGTCAAGGCAGGTGAGCAAATACTTTTGGCAATATAGTGTATTTACTTCCATATAGTATGAAATATTTACATCTCTTTAACACTTTCCTCCCCCAGCATCTAATTGAACAGTTTGTTCTGTGTTATCAGGAGGATGAAAATGAGTCCGGTAAATTCAGCAGAAAATCAGAGGCTCTGTCGGTCACGCCGTAATGTTGATCCTGAAAGGAGGCAAAAGTATTTAGAATGTGAGCGAGGGAGAAAGGCACAAAGACAAGGATACAAGATTTAAGGGAGAGAGCCAAGCATCAGAAAAGGAAAAAGTGGAGGAAGCATAAAAGTAGAAGGAAAGAGAGGAAAAACTTCCCCCCACCACAAAGTCCAGACTCTGATCCACAGAGACAGCAGCAGTCAAGGTCAGATTAGTAGAACTCACAGACACATTTGTCACTGATGGTTGAAGGTATAGAGTATAGGATTTATGGGGAAAATGTAAATGTAATCTTTAGCTAGTCTTTTAGTAAGTAGTATTACCAGAGACTAATAATGGTTTTTAGATTTTAGGTGAGGGTGAAACCTTCATAGGGTTATGTTCCTCCATGGAGGCTGCCATGTTTCTATAGGGGCTGTTTCCTATGGAGGGGTGAAGGGAGGAATATCTAGTGTGAGAACCTGCAGACTCCACTTTAGATGCCACATAATCCTATGGACTGGCCCTTTAAAATAGATTAATTGTTCATTTTATTCTTACAAGCAACAAGAAGCAGGGAAGAGATTGGCCAGAAAAACTAAGACAGACTACATAAAGAAATTGAGAGGCTAAATAAACAGCTGAAAAAGGAAAGAAAACAAGCTGAAAAATATCGTTAAATGTAGCACTATTTAAACTGTAAAAGGACTAGATGGAAGAAAATCAGAAGACTAGAATTCGTCTACTGGAGCCGTTGTCAGTAATCAATAAAACGACACAAAAGTGTTTCAATACCATGTATTAGACAAATTTAAAGTAAACAATACAAGACAACATACATAGAACCCAAAATAAATACAAAAAAATATATATACACAGTACTGTGGCAACCCTTCTGTTTGTGCACAACTGATCTTAAATTCCCCACTGATCAGTCCAGAGTCTGACCCGACACACGTTCAGAAATCCACGGTTGGATTATCCAGATATTTAAGTTGAAAAATGTCCCAGCGCAAGTTGTTTCAGATGAAGAGGTGAATAATGGAGTGTATGCCTGAGTGGTGAGATGGAGGGGGGAAATGATACAGACCAGTCCACTGTGGAGTGATTCTTAAGGCTCTCCTGGCTCCAGCCAGTTTCCAGAAGCTCGCCATCTTTTTCCCTAAAAAGGGATCACCTGGCCTGTATTAAAATAAACAGGACCAGTACATTTCCAGCCGGCTAGTTAACTAGACTTTTCCAGTTTCACACAGAAATAAATGCAATATCTAATCTATCAGACCAAATAAAGAACATTTATCTCAGTATCTTACAGTTACATTACAACAATTGATGATCACACCACCAACATGCTAAAACAAACATTGTGCTCTCTACTCACCAATTCCAATAATGGATGAGAGTATGGCAGCTCCAAGGCTCCAAACTCACTGGATTTCTCGGATCTACATGATTTTTATATTGCGAGGTTAAACAGTCAGAGATGGCAAAAGTACTCACTTTCCGTACTTGAGTAAAAGTACAGATACTTGTGTTAAAAAATACTCTGGTAAAAGTGGAAGTACTGCTTAAACTTCTTTACTCAAGTAAAAGTAACAAAGTACAGGCTTGTAAATGTACTTAAAGTATTAAAGTAAAAGTAGAAACCACTTTTTTCATGCCGTTGCCTACATTTTAAATGGATGTCTGCCAATAGGACTAGATCTCCGTTGTGTTCATTTTCAATCATCTCGTCGTCCATGCTACTATGCTAACGCCACCGCCACCAAGCTGCAATGATTTGCCGCCAATGAATACCGCCGAATCTGTCGATTCATCTTGTAGTGGTGCGTCAAATGCAACGTAGATTCCCATCCAATTAGATTGAATTTGGTATTGATGACGTGAAAAATAATAACGGTAACTCCATTGAAATGATTCAAAACTAAAGTAACGAGACAATTTTTAAAAATGTAAGGAGTAGAAAGTACAGATATTTGTGTAAAAATGTAAGGAGTAGAAGTAAAAAGTCGCCATAAAAATAAGTAGTAAAGTAAAAATATCAGAAAAATCTACTTGAGTACAGTAACGAAGTATTTGTACTTCGTTACTTCCCATCTCTGTAAACAGTGCATTACAAACAAAGAGAAACTGATTGTTTGGGAACACCAACCTGTAGCTCCTTTGTCTCCAGCTCTCCCCCTCACATCTGACTGGGGAAAGCTGGAGCAAGCCTAAATAATTGCCTCAGGTGTGTCAATTGGCTGCATGCACTGTGTGACTGACTGTCACTCTAACCAATGGGGCAGTAAGGCGGGACTAAGGGTAGTTTTTTTCACCCTGGGTTATAAAAACATTTGAGTGGATATGAGTAAAATAGAAGTTAAAAGTTTTTAAAAGAAAGATCCGAGAAGATTGGCAAAAACAGTGGGAAGAAGATTTAAAGGAAGATTACTTTTTCGTTATTTATTGGCTACAGGTTTAGTGAAAGAATTTAGTTTTTTTTTTTTTTCCCCTTTTTTTTTTTTTTGAGCATGTCTGTCTTGATCCACACTCATTACTGGTTGGTGGCAGTAATGCACCTCTTAATTGTTTGCCAACCGCCATAAAACACGAAGAAGAAGAACATTTGAGTCTGCAAGTGAGGGCACCTCTCCTCAGTCAAAAGTGACAATTTTAACAAGATCAGGCAGAGTACACCCCATTTAAAAAAAACAACAAACAAAAAACATTACTCTTCCATGAAGCCTTGATTGCAGATAAAAAAAAAGGAAAAATAAATATCCAAACACAAGAGGACAAAAGGAGAAACAAATCATTTAAAAATGATCAGAAAGTTAAAGTTAAAGCATTGTCTGTGAGTATTACTTGGTAAAAAACACTGAGACACCTGTAATGTCACATGATATGTTGGTATTGTGTAAAGTTGTATGTTTATAGCCCGTTATTATTATGCTAATGAGTCAGTTTTCGTAAGCTAATCGTAAGCTTTGTTGCTAATCGCTAGCTAACATCCTCATTTCATTGAAAGTCAATGCCATGTTGGTCCTTTATTTTATTGATATCATTCTATAAAGCCTAGATTGTAATACATTGCATTTCTGTATGTTACAGTTTCACACAAAAGGAACTAGCACTGAAGTAAACTTCATTAACCAGTCATCGCTGTCCGGAGTTTCTTCATGTTCAAGATTGTTTAGCTGTTTGGATAGCTAGTGCGAGTATCTAGCGAGGCCAATAACAGCTTCCTTTGGTCCTGATGATGACTGAGCTGAAAATGAGATCAGAAATGGATTATAGTATTAATGATCAATAATAGATTAATCTCTGATACAATAACTTCAGTTGAGCATGAAGGTTTCCCTGGATATTTAGTTTAGATTATACATTTCTTGTCATGATACGTGGTTGGTTTGCTAGCCCAAGGATGCAGAACTCCACAGACACAGAGGCAGGATTAAAGTCCAATGTTTATTTGGATCAGCACAGGGTTCTGCCCTGGAAGGCAGGGGAGACAGAGTACAGGTTAAACTCAGGGATAGATTAACAACTGAAACTCACTGGTTCGCTGGTTCAGGCAGGCAGAGTAGCACAGGTAACGGACATGGCAAGGTGTGGCAAAACGTGGTAAACATGGCAAGGAACAAAGACTAGGGAACCCATGGCTAGGCTTGGAAACAATGGCTAACACATGGCTGTGGGTAACACAGGCTACGATCCGGCTACGAGTGAAGCTGTCACACAGCTTATATGGGGAGAGGTTAATGAGCAGAGCTGATGGGAAACAGCTGTGCGCTGAGAACCAGCTCCCAGGAGAGGATCCATGGCGCCCTCTGGTGGGCAAACCTCTGGATCCCAACAGAAACAGAAGCCCAGAAGAAGGGATACAAACAGAAACAGAAGCTACAGAATGGGATCCACACCGCCCTCTGGAGGGCAACCCTTGGATCCCAACATTTCTATCTTTAACTATTTCTCTTCCTGAATATTGAACCGTTGATTTCTTAGTGATGATATGAATGGCTGACAGATCAGCAGGTTTAGACTTTCACCATTTTAATCTACATTAAACTCTCATCCTTTCTCTCTGTATGTTGCTGATGGTTGATTTGATGTTTTTTCTTATTTTCTGTATTTATCTTACTTTCTTACAATGGCGTAACTATCAAGCAGAGACTGCAGTTGCTTAGGGCCCCCGACCTCTTAGGGGCCCCGTCACTGACACTTAGGGGGGCCCCCTCAGCAATTGTAGACTAGGACGTCTCTTTGCAGATGTAATGGTGCGAAAATTCATCTTAAACCCACCTGATGTTGAATTGACTGACCATTCCGGACCGTATTTATAACGACACAACACATGGCAGATTTCACCATGATGGTGAGCCGATTAAACACGACACCAACAGCAAAGCAGACAGTGGGACTATTAATTACTATGTTAATAACTGTGTATAGTTCATTAGACAGTTGGTAAAAAAAATACACCCATATAATATGTTTCAAACTGCAATAAAGATGTTAAAGAACGTGTCATGATGGGTTGTACTTCATATGGGGCCCACCCAGGTAATGTTGCTTACGGCCTAGTCTTGTGTCATTACGTCATTTTTATTCTTTTTCATTGAATTTAATGGTGTTTGTATTTCTTTGGTCCTTTGATTATATTAAAGTTCTATATAGTTATATTAGACTGTAGATAAGTTATTAAATTGCTATCATGAATATCTGGGTTATATAATACATGGGAACCAGATCTAAAACTGAGGAGCATTTAAACCACAAAAATAAACTTTATTATTTGTTTCTTCATTAAAAACATTGAGGAGCTTTGTCATGTTAAAACATCAGGAACCCTAAAAATATGATGTCATTTTTAAATAAATGAAACAATTGCTTTTCCAGTGGAGCCCTACGTGAGGATTCATCTGGTGGCGCCCTCTAGTGGTGGCCATCCTGCCAGGTTGGTCTGCAGCGCCTTCAGCTTCTACCCTAAAACCATCAAGGTGAGCTGGCTGAGGAATGGAGAAGAGATCACCTCTGGAGTGGACATCACTGATGAACTCCCAGATGGAGACTGGTACTACCAGGTCCACTCCAACCTGGAGTACAAACCCAGGTGGGTTCTAGAAGGTTCTGCTCCAATAGCACTGGTTCTATTAATAGAGACTGGAACACATGTTAATGTGGATTCTAGAATCCTGCTATATGTTCCCAGGGGCGGATTTAGGAAATGTGGGGCTGTCGTGGGAAAAAAGTATTCAACTGTTCATCCTAGTTAAATAAACGGAGATCGATGGATTTCACTCAGTCGGCACATTTATTAAAATCTTTGCAAAGAGAGAACAGTCATCATGGCACAGCATTCTGCTCTGTTCTGATCTGGGCAGGGTTCGTTCCCCCCTAGTTACAACAATGGAAAGCAGTCAGAGTCATAACAAATTACACACACTTTGCTTAACAGTAACATGTTATGAATAAACCTTGAGAAAGAATCTGGATTGTTATGGGAAGAAGCTATGTCTGGTCTACAAACAACATTCTGCAGGGAATGGTGTGGCCTTGAGAGAGAAACAGACTGAGTGAAAACTTTTATAGTGAGTAAATATGAATATTAATATATAATGAGAGAAAGATATACATTTTCCCACAACAGGGGCCCTAGGCAAAGACAGGCAGGGGGCCCTATGAATTGAGAAGACAAACAGACCTGTTATACAGGTAGAGAAATTTAATAGAATAGACATTATCTGTTCTAGGTTTGGTCCCTCACTAAGCCCATTCACTTTTTTCATTTGAATGAAATAATAGCTGGAAGTAAATCTGCTCCCTTCCTCCATTTCTTTCCAAAGATCCCGTCCTTCACCTGTAACAGGTCACATTAACTCAGAGAAAAATACGGCAGTTTCTACTCTACTACTAAACCACCTTCATGCTCAGTGGGAAGTCTTTTTTTTCAAGGGTGACTTTTTAAGCCAGAACTCTTTAACAAAAAGTCATATTCTGATGGAAAGTAAACTACAAAAAAACAAGATGCAATGCATCTGCAAGGAAAGACCAGTAATTCTACAAATATGACAATATCTTTACGAACAGTAAATTAATTCATTTATAATTAACTCACCCCTTAACATCCACAGCTGTACACAATAACACACATTAAAGCAACATTAATACAAAGCTGCAATGCAGAGAAGTTGGCTATAACTTCCTTTTTCAAAAAACTGTATGACTTTATTTATGAAGTTATGCATTCAAAAAATAATTTTCTAAAATGTATAATTTAATAATTTAAAGAATAAAAGACTTACCAAAACTGTAAAACCTGTGTTTTTTTTTTTTTTTTTAGAAAGGTCGCCCCAAATCCTAAGGTTCACCTGAAACTCAACATAAAAAAAAACAGCTAAATAAGTGATTTCTGGTCATTTGAATCAAATACAAACCACATTCAAAACTTTATTTTAATGTGACCCATCTTCTATAGCCGGGTTTAACCAATTAAAAATTAGCGGGGTCTGAATAAAAAAAAAAAATCATCAACCAGTAAGGGTCTAGAGACATTTTTTATTATAATCCGTTACTTTAAACAGAATTTTACACTGAAATAAAATGAGGTGTTTATGCCTCCATGTTATACACTGAATGTTTAAATAAAAAAATTTAAAATCTAAATAGTTTTTGAAGTAGAGAACATCAATCCTTCAGTTTGGTTTATAGATAATTTCCTGATTCCCATCTTTTCTCAAACCCCTGAACTGATGGTTTGTTATTTTCTTTCTTTTTTCTGTCTTAATGTTGGCAGTGGGCTTTAGGCTGCCCTGCAAGGCTTTAAACCTGGGTTTAACCGGAGACTAAGCCATTCTCAAGCACATATCAAGGAGCTCATTTTGAGCCTGGATCCAGATTTATTGTTGATTCTGTTCATGGTGGAGAATCCTGCTTCACAGCAGCAGGTTGAGCCAAACATCCTCTAAATGTGCAGGGTCATCTTTGAGCACGCCATTTCACTTTTCTTTCACCAGTTCACCGCAGTTCTTCCAGCAGTCCACACTTTCTCTGCTCTCTTTTTCTCATGGTCTTCTCCTTCTTTCCCATCGCCTGGCTTGCCACAGGTTTGCCTGCTGTGTCTAAAAGTAGCAGCAGCAGCAACCCAGACTGACAGCTCATTGGCTCATTTGGATCACGCGCTGCGGCTAGCCACTGCTGGTGCTAGCCGCTGCTAGTGCTGCTTGCTGCTGCTACTGTTGGTGCTAGCCGCTGCTAGTGCTGCTTGCTGCTGCTACTGTTGGTGCTAGCGGCTGCTGACACACTTGATTAGACTTGTTAAGACAGACTTTATATTGTAAGCATTCTGATGGAATTTTATCGAAAGGATTTTTATTTATGGTCAACAGCCTGTTTTTGCCTAATGATAAATCCCCCCCCCCGTCTCTGCAGGTCTGGAGAGAAGATCTCCTGTAGGGTGGAACACGCCAGCCTGAAGGAACCTCTGATCACTGACTGGGGTAAAAACCTGACTGACTGAACGTCTGTCTGACTGAACGTCTGTCCCAGTCTCAGCTGTCTGTCTAACTCTGTTTCTCCTCAGAGCCTCAGTCCCAGGACGGTAAAATAGCTGGTGGAGCTTCAGGACTTGTCCTCGGTCTGGTCTTTGGTCTGGCTGGATTCTTGTACTACAAGAGGAAGCTCAGAGGTCAGAACCGTTTCAAACCAATTTAGACTGGTTTTCACACCACAGCCTCCTGACTTGGCTCCCATTTGAACATTTGACTTGAAACAACCTGATAACTTTGATCAAACAGAAAGATGTTTTAACTGAACCAAACCAGAAGTCCAATCAAGTCATCTGTTTATTTATCCCTCCATCTTTTTCTGTGATGTTTACAGTCGTTTCAGCCTAAGTAATATCCAAACCAGCCATCTACTGTGCATAATAGCACTGGTTTCAGGCATTTCAGAAACATCTTTAATCCAGGCCAAGGACAGACAGGTCCCGTCCCAGAGGACCTTTGGTCAAACACACCTGAATCATTGGTTTAAAGACCTCCTTGCTGCAGGCAGGTTCTCCAGAGTCCTGCTGGTCATCTAATTGTTTTAATCACATATAAATTAATCCACCTGGTCAATCCTCTGAGCCAAACATGAAACCGGTCAATAGTCCAGATTACTATGAAATTACTGAATGAGAGGTGTTTAACTTGTTCTGAAGAAGATCCAGAAACACCAAACATTAGACATTTCTTTTACCAAAACTGACTTTAAAGAGAAAAAACCATAAATTTTAGCCACACTTTGACTATTTATTAGCTAAACCTGGAGAACTTATTTCAGAGACCAACTGGTGTAGATTAATTTATTTCCCATAGATTATTACATTAACTGTTCTAAGCTGGTGATTTTTATGAGTTCCTCGATGTGTGTCTGAACAGCTGATTGAGGATGTAAAATATCACAGGTGAAAACTAAAGTCGCATAACTTTGACTTGAGACAGATTCGAGTCAATAATTTGATCGCTTTAAATGTACCCTGAAAATAGACCTGGGACTTGATTCAGACTTTGATTTCATTGGTTCAGAGACTTGGATTGGACTGACTCTGTTTACCTGAAAATAGTTGGTTTTAATAAAAAAACAGTTATTTAAAAACTAAGCTGCATCAGTTAATGTTATTCATCCAGTTTTGATATTTTACCAGTAGATTATAGATATATAATTAACTAGAACTGGAAGTTTTAGTTGATTAATAGATGTAGTGGAAAAAGTCTTCAACTATTCATCCTAGTTAAATAAACGGAGATCGATGGATTTCACTCAGTCGGCACATTTATTAAAATCTTTGCAAAGAGAGAACAGTCATCATACAGTCCTAATGGCAGCATTCTGCTCTGTTCTGATCTGAGCAGAGTTTGTCTCCTTAATTATGTTGATGAAAAAATTGTGAAGGTTGTTTCTCAGTCAAAACAAATGACACACTTTAACAAACCTTTAGAAGGAGTCTGGGTTATCGTGGGATTTAGTAAACCGCCCCTCACTCAGACATTTTCTCAGCCTTGCAGCTGAAACAAACTGAGTAAAAACATTTTTCACTGGATAAATAACATCACTAAATATATGAGAGAGAGAAATCTAAATCATCTGACCACAAAGGTCCCTCAAAATCGAGCGTAAAAACAATTCATTATCATTAGAATAGAATAGAAAAATAGAAAATTCCTTTATTTTACCACAATGGGGAAATTCTATCAGTTGAAGAAGATTAGATTAGATGAGCTTTATTGATCTCACAGCAGAGAAATTCACTCGTCACATATCGGCATAGAAGTTACAGAAGGTGCAAACAGGGAGAAAAAAGGTGCATTAAGAATAAGCAATATATATACAGTATATCAAGATAAATAGGATTAAGGTGCATGTGTACATGTATCACACACAATGAAAAACTAAATAAAAATAAGAAATAAGAAAATAAGAAATACAAAGGAGTAGCACAGAGATTTGAGGTAGATAATAATGATTGTCCAAGTTAGGGTTAGGCCAATGTGTCAATGCATTCAATAAACAGTTTTGTTTTGTCCTGCTTCTAACGGGTAATGGTGATAGGTCACAGATGCAATAAACAACACAACATTGCAGCAAGATGGTTAACTTAGATGGTTAACTAAGATAACACTTAGGGCTCAGCTAAAAGGGTGGAGCTTTGCTGAGATAAACAGTCATAAAACCACAATATGGCTGCTTCTACCATACGCTCAAAGGAGGAGGTGGTAACGGTGCTGGGGAGCACAATGGGTTGTTAAACTAAATATTATAAACACAATAAATTATAATAACTTGGCCACTCCCATCATGTGACCAAAGGGTAGTGGTGGACTAAGAATGTGGCACATAGCGGGACCAATCCCAACCCACCGCCTAAACACTGTCACTATCAGGGTCACTATCAGGGTCACTATCACTGTCACTCCCAATGAAGTCTCTCAGCTAAAGGCGCCTTCATTAAAGTTGGGGGGGGAGAAAAAGAAGAATGGGACGGCTTCTTAGGGATTCTTCCCTCCAATGGAAAAGGAAAGCAACTGTTGCTATGGCAACACAGCAGCGCTCCATTTGCATGACTGTAGCTCTGTGGCGGCGGGTGAAATAACATCTAACTTTGCCCTGTTTTTAGAACAAATGTTTACGTTTAAAAACTATTTCAAAGAGAGTCAGAATTACTTTATTAATTCCTTACAGTTTTTTTAAAATAAGATAAGGGTCACAGTATATACGATCAACAGTAGACTAACGTCTGTCTGACTGACTGACTATACAACAGTTTATAATGCTGCTCAGTACCTAAGTACAGTTATTGTCTTAAAGGGGAGGTGATCAGTCATGAAGTCATCAGCCTGTAATCATGTGTTCCAGCAGAGTTTATATCACAACACAATATTAATGAACTCAGACCGTCTCTCTCTGAGTTTAACCTCGGTTTGCTTGATGTGGACAGAAAGATCATCGGTCAGGTTAAAAAATAGATAAAAAAAATATGCTTATAGTAGTTATTTATCTTAGTTATATAACCCACAAATTCCTCAACAAGAAATGAAATTGAACATGTAAAATATGCCAGAAAAGAATCACAGCTGGAGAAGAAACATCTTCGCCTTTATGTGACCTTTAATGTTGGATAACGAATGGCAGGCAGTAGTTTACTGTTTAAAAGATTTAAGCTAACTTTGTTTTAATAGGAAATGATCAGCTGCTGGTTTCATTAAGTGTTGAAATAAATTGAGGTTTATAAAGAACTTTTGGGAAATGATGTTAAAAACACCTTAGAAGGAGTTTAAATTTAAAGTTTTATTCTAAGGACTAAAGATCATGGTTTTATCTTTAACTCTAATTTGATTGTCTTGGTTTGGCTTAACAGGAGACTAAAGATAAAGATAAAAACAGGTTTCTGTTTATTAAACAGTAGATCCATGTTTCCATGTGACCTGCTGCATTTGTGGAGTTCGTTAGTATCAGTGTCGATGCTTTTTAATTTACCTCTTCCTGCTCTACCTTGGTGATCACCTTCTGGTTCCTCCTGCCTCCATGGCCAATCAGTGGGTTGCTTACATCAGCATCCAGCCCTGCTGACCTCTGTTAGCTCCACCTCCTCAGCAGGAGGAGCCCAGAAGGGCCAAACAAAGACCCGTTAGGGTAACGCTCTCAGAGCGGGTCCAGTGGAGCCAAGCTGAACAGAACCTCTGGAAAAGGAGCATGATCCAATAAATTAGTCACAGTCTGGAAATCTCAGGTTCTGACTGAGATATAGATCATAAATGATACCAGATATAGATCAGATATATAGATTAGATGTTAGCTCTGCAGTCAGCTAAGCTTACAAGGCTAACACGCTAACATTAGCATGTTTAGCCTTATTTCCATTGATAATAATGTGTTTATAGTCTCTGTGATTTAGACCATAGGCTGGTCACAGTGAGCCAATCAGAACTGTTGGAGAGCTGAACCATAACCGTGACTCATCAGATGAAAACCATCATAAGCTCTGATGCTTTGGTCTGAAGTTCAGACCCTCCTGCTGGTCACCATGAAATCACTATAATTCATTTAAAGCTAAAGAGGAGGATCTTTTATTTCAGGGTGGATCATCTCAATCAGTGGTCCTCCTACCTGCCAATCATTCTGGTGTTGTGTCTATGTAAGGCCGTCCAATGCGCTCGTCCCGTTAGCTATCTGGTTCTTTCAGGCGTGTATCTGTAGAGAGCTACGGTTTCAGACAGTCATTGAAGCTCACCTTTCCCACCGCCGTTCTTTGAAAATGGCCGAGGATCAGAAGAGAAAAAGTGTCTAAGAAGTTTGAGAAGAAAAGAAAGGCCTCAGAAGAGGCAGATATATCCCAGAATGCTTTGCACAGAGAGCTCTCCTCAGAAAGCATCATGGGATTTGTTGTCACAGCGGCCCGCTGTCGCCATAGGCTACTGCTACCCGACAGTGGCGACTAACAAAGATGGCGCGGGCACTGCAGTGGAGGAGTAGTTACATGACCAATGGAGCAGAAATCAGTGATCGTCTGTCTGAACGGTCATTAACTGAGTTCACTATAAAGTTCACTATAAAGTCCCTGCTGTGGGTGGATGCAGTTACCTTGTATGAGCTATGAGAACTGCACATCTTAAATGGCGTGCACGAGGAACAAAGGGCTTGTGCACGCTCCTGCACGCACATTTTTTAAAAAATCCTCCACAATACTTTAAATAGATGATTTATTCATCTTAGAATCATTCATTTTATTACAGTCATTAAAGATAGGTTTGGTAAAATGACTTGTTCAGGTTTAGGACTTTGGACTTTTATGCCTGGACTGGATTTAGGTGAGAAGACACGAGGCTTAACTGGGACTCATAAAACCAGAATGGACCAATCACAGCATAAAAACTGGCAGCTGTGGTGTTTTATTGATGCTCTTTATTATGTCCCAGAAGAGCCGATTATATTCTGACAGTTTCAGCAATTTTTTTAAAGATGTTTTATGTCAGATGTGTTGTTATCTGATTGGTTCTCAGCTGTTTCCCCCGACTGTTAGTCCCGCCTCAGAAACTGGGCTCTACTTGTCGACATGTCGTCTATATAAATTATTCTAGCTGACCAGGCTAATCCAGTCTACAACCTGTTTCCATGGTGACAGAGTTACTGGGATCAGTTTAGATCCAAAGGTTCTGGATGGTGTGCTTCTCTACGATCGGTGGGACGTCACTGGGACCCAGTAGAAGGCGGTCAGTAGAGGGCGCTGGTGCAGCGCCTCTCCTAGTGGAAAGTATTTCAGGTTTTTAGAAGAAATTTAAAATATTATAAACAACTATAAGGAATGACTAAATCCACAATAATGTGAGGTTAACATAAATTTAGTTTGGGAATAAATTCATTTCCTTTTCCAACATTTTGCCTGTTGGAAAAAATCTTCCATTGTAGACCAGCCAGGATCAAACTGCAGAGTTTTTACCCTAGATTCCTCCAGCAAAGCAAATCCAATCAGACTCTTCAAAAATGTCCCTAAAAGGCGCTACAACAATCATCCAAAGTGTGTATATTACAGGTGCTGGTCATAAAATTAGAATATCATGAAAAAGTAGATTGATTTCAGTAATTCCATTTAAAAAGTGAAACTTGTATATTATATTCATACATTACATACAAACTCATATATTTCAGATGTTTATTTTGTTTAATTTTGATGATTACAAATGACAACAAATGAAAATCTCAAATTCATCATATCAGAAAATTAGAATATTACTGAAGACCAATAAAAACAAAGGATTTATAGAAATGTTGGCCAACTGAAAAGTATGAACATGAAAAGTATGAGCATGTACAGCACTCAGTATTTAGTTGGGCCTCCTTTGGCCTGTATTACTGCAGCAATGCGGCGTGGCATGGAGTCGATCAGTCTGTGGCACTGCTCAGGTGTTATGATAGCCCAGGTTGCTCTAATAGTGGCTTTTAGCTCTTCTGAATTGTTGGGTCTGGTGTATTGCATCTTCTTCTTCACAATACCCCATAGATTTTCTATGGGGTTAAGGTCAGGAGAGTTTGCTGGCCAATTAAGAACAGGGATACCATGGTCCTTCAACCAGGTACTGGTAGCTTTGGCACTGTGTGCAGGTGCCAAGTCCTGTTGGAAAATGAAATCTGCATCTCCAAAAAGTTGGTCAGCTGCAGGAAGCATGAAGTGCTCTAAAACTTCCTGGTATGTGGCTGTGTTGACCCTGGACCTCAGAAAACACAATGGACCAACACCAGCAGATGACATGGCACCCCAAACCATCACTGACTGTGGAAACTTTACACTGGACTTCAAGCAACGTGGATGAAGTGCCTCTCTTCTTTTCCTCCAGACTCTGGGACCTTGATTTCCAAAGGAAATGCAAAATTTACTTTCATCAGAGAACATGACTTTGGACCACTCACCAGCAGTCCAGTCCTGTTTCTCTTTAGCCCAGGCAAGACGCTTCTGACGCTGTCTGTGGTTCAAGAGTGGCTTGACACAAGGAATGCGACAGCAGAAACCCATGTCTTTCATACGTCTGTGTGTGGTGGTTCTTGAAGCACTCACTCCAGCTGCAGTCCACTCTTTGTGAATCTCCCCCACATTTTTGAATGGTTTTTGTTTCACAATCCTCTCCAGGGTGCGGTTATCTCTCTTGCTTGTACACTTTTTTCGACCACATCTTTTCCTTCCCTTCGCCTCTCTATTAATGTGCTTGGACACTGAGCTCTGTGAACAGCCAGCCTCTTTAGCGATGACCTTTTGTGTCTTGCCCTCCTTGTGCAAGGTGTCGATGGTCGTCTTTTGGACAACTGTCAAGTCAGCAGTCTTCCCCATGATTGTGTAGCCTATAGAACTAGACTGAAAGACCATTTAAAGGCTTTTGCAGGTGGTTTGAGTTAATTAGCTGATTAGAGTGTGGCACCAGGGGCCATCAATTTTGAACCTTTTCACAATATTCTAATTTTCTGATATGATGAATTTGAGATTTTCATTTGTTGTCATTTGTAATCATCAAAATTAAACAAAATAAACATCTGAAATATATGAGTTTGTATGTAATGTATGAATATAATATACAAGTTTCACTTTTTAAATGGAATTACTGAAATCAATCTACTTTTTCATGATATTCTAATTTTATGACCAGCACCTGTATATTCAGCCAGATAATGTTGGGTCCAGCTCCAGGTCTGCATCATTGCATCCTGTCCCAGTAGGTCCAGAGAGGGAAATGTTCTGTAGAGCTGGAACCATGGTCACCCTGCAGGGCTGTGATCCAGACAGAAGCAGCTTCACACACTACTGCCCCCCCCTTAACGGAAAATCTACAGCCTTTATTTCTATCTACACGTTTATTCTGAGGGTTCCTGCAAACATTATGGTTCCATAGTGAAAATACAGGTTCTAGATCTTTATTTCTCACCTGGACGTAACTTAACAGGTGATATTTTCTCTGGATCAGATCAGAACCATGAGGCTGAATGAGGGTTTTGTTCTTTCATTCTAGGAAGTATCCTGGTTCCAAACCGCTGAGTCTGGATCCTGGTTCTGGTGGACGTCTCTGCTGCTGCTTCCAGAAGATCCCCTCTGATCCAGAACCCCCCCACAGAGCGACCCACGGTGGAGTTAGAGGAGATCTCAGTCCATCAGGACCGGTTCTCTATGGGCTTCCTTCTGCACCTCTCTGCATTAATCTGTTGATTATTTCTCAGATTAGTCGACTAATCAACATTATCTTTATGATCGCCATCAGTTTCTGTTATTAGAAATTACAGCCTGAGTTTCTAAATGTTTTCACTGCCTGGTTTTATTCTGCACATCTTTAAAAGTCATTTTATTGCTGATATTCTTTATATATTAACCTTCATTAATGATAAATCCATTAAACATGAACCTGAAATCTGACTGACTGAAGTGATTTTTGAAATTGTTCTCTATCACTAACTTCAGTTTTTTACAGTTAAAACATCAAAAGGATCCTAATATATTTGGAAATAAAACAAATCTTTTAACAGAGCTTAATGTTTCCAGTGAATTAACCCCTCAGCATATAAAGGTGATATTAACCTGCTAAAGTCAGGATTATTCACATCATCAACATTAACAATGACAGAAATAAATACAAATATTTAATTAGAAAGAAAATGATCAGTGAGCTTTTTATCATTAATCCAAACCATCAATCCCAGTTATAAATAAATGTATAATAAGCTGTACAGTAAGTCTTAGATATAATCTGACTGAATAGCAGCTGAGCTGAACTTCCAGAACTTCCAGTCGCTCCTCTGTGGGAGGTCCTGTGGAGGCCTTGGCTGGAAAGGGTGGGGGCCTCAGGGGTCCCCCAGCTGTTATTCACCAAAGCTGTGTGTTCTCCTCTGGTCATCAGTTAAAGATTAAACATGGATACTGGTTCCCAATGTCCTAAAACCAGGATCATGGCATACGGCCCAACAGCGTCTTTCTACACAGAAGCAGAAGGTAAAAAATAACCATGGTGGATGATAATGCAGAGAGCAGTTTGTTTTTAACCATCTTGGTAACTTTGTGTTTTTAGGGTTGTAATGATGGCTACATGCGCTCCAGCGCTACCTTCCATGTTTGCTTCCATAAACACAGAGCATGCTGGCTACCTGTGATGTCATTGCTTCCTCTAAGCTGGATGAATGCAATTCTTTATTTATTATATACTTTAATAATCCCAGAGGGAAATTACTTCTCTGCATTTAACCCCTCCCCTTGGGGAGCAATGGGCTGCCATTGTGAGGCGCCCGGGGAGCAGGGTGGAGTTAAGGGTCTTGCTCAGGGACCCAGAGCAATGTGAATGTAGCCTTTGCCTCAAAGTGGAATTAATAAAACTATTCCAGCATATTTGTTCACCTGCTGATCACTGTGAGGACACTGATCTCTATTTATTCACTGAATATCTGATAGGCTGTTGGTAGAACAGGGCAGTCAGCAGCCGCCATATAGGATCCATTGGCTATAGGTGATTTATTGGTTAGTTCATCCACTGACTGGGAAATAACCAGTCGAACGTCTTCCTGCAGACAGAAAACTGCTGGTTTCTGCAGCTAAATGCTACACAGGGAGGCATTGGTATGGCAGGACTCCAGGAGAGCAGGGAGTACCAATATGGCGGCAGGTAACCACTTTACCTGGGCTGTCAGCAATCCAGTGAATAAATAGACATCAGTGGCTCAGTGACACAGATGAGGCTCTGCTGCCCCCTGCAGCCACTTTAGTGAACTGCATGTGATATAGACGCCTCTCAGTTTATATTTCAATAAAGATGCATGATCAGGTCAGTACGGTGGGACAGTGGGTATTGCTGTTACCTTCCAGAAGGGAGGTTCCAGGTTTGATTTCCAGCCTGGAGTCTCTAACTTCCTCCTACAGTCCAGAAACACACCTATCAGGTTGGTCAGCACCTCTAATATGTACCTAGGTGGGAGTGTGGTTTTATGGATCTGTGTGTCTCTGTGTTGTGTCATGATGTGGTTGGTTTGCTAGCCCAAGATGCAGAACTCACAGAACAGAGGCAGGATTAAAGTCCAATAATTTATTGGTGAACTCAGGTTTTCCCCCTGGGAGGCAGAGAGGACAGAAACAGGTTATGCTCAAATACAGGTTTACAGGTTTCCAAACTCACAGGTTTGCAGATTCAGACAGGCAGGGTTAAACAGGCAGAGTGGCTCAGGTTTGCTTCCATGGCAAGGACAGGACAATGACAACGGCAAAGCATGGCATGGCATGGCATGGCATGGCATGGCATGGCATGGCATGGCATGGCATGGCATGGCATGGCAACAATGACTATGACCACGATCCGGCTCAGAGAGAAGCTATGACTCAGCTTATATAGGGAGACGTTAATGAGCAGAGCTGATGGGAATCAGCTGAGCGCAGAGAACCAGCTCCCAGGAGAGGATCCATGGCGCCCTCTGGTGGGCAAACCTCTGGATCCCAACAGAAACAGAAGCCCACAGGAAGGGATCCACACAGCCCTCTGGAGGGCAAACCTCTGGATCCCAACATGTTGCCCGGCGACCTGTCCAGGGTGGATGTTGCCTCCTGCTCATAGACTGCTATAGATATCAGCCCTACGCCCACACTGGCTGAATAAATAGGACAAGATGGATGGATTTATTAATACATTAAAAAATATATTTGGTGTTTAATTGTAGTCCTTAACTGTTGGTTCCCTTTTATTATTTTAGGTTAATAAGTGTTGCGGGAAAAAGTCTTCAACTATTCATCCATGTTAAATAAACGGAGATGGATGGATTTCACTCAGTCGGCACATTTATTAATATCTTTGCAAAGAGAGAACAGTTCATGATACAGCCCTAATGGCAGCATTCTGCTCTGTTCTGCATGAGCAAGGTTCATCCCCCCTTACTTAGAACACTGCAAAAGCAGTCAGAGTCCAAACAAATTCCAGACACTTTGCTTAACAGTAACATGTTATGAATAAACCTTGAGAAAGAATCTGGATTGTTATGGGAAGAAGCTATGTCTGGTCTACAAACAACATTCTGCAGGGAATGGTGTGGCCTTGAGAGAGAAACAGACTGAGTGAAAACTTTGATAGTGAGTAAATATGAATATTAATATATAACAGAAGAGAAATCTAAACTTTCTGACAACATAAGCTTTACATTTTTATAAAAATTATTAATGACCTTTAGCTTCACTAATTATATTTGATAGGATCTACATTTTGACAATGATAAACATCACAGGGAACATTACACCCTGTGTTTACGTTAAACCCTGAAAAATGGGCCGAGCTCCAACTTCTAGAAACAAAGGTTCCAGCTTTTATTGTCATTCCACTGAAATTCCCTTAGTGGCAGTCTGTGGGAGTGGGACTAGAAATCAGAACCTCTGGATACCAAGCGCAATGCACTAACCACTAGACCGCCCCTCCCCCCAAAGGTGTTGATGGCAGCAGCACAGCTGATATTTCTCTCCAGGATGGAGTCACAGCCAAACAGGAACAGACCAGATGAAGCTACTATGAGAAAAAGCAGAGAGAGCAGAACGTTAGAGATTGAACTAACAGATTCTGCAGAGTGGGAGAATAGAGATAGAATGAAGCAGAATGATGAAAAAGGGGTCCCTATGTCCTCCAGCAGTCTAAGCCTATAGCAGCAGAACTATAGAGATAGATCAGGATAACCTGAGCCACTCTAACTAGAAGCTTTATCAAAAAGGAAAGTTTTAGTCCCTGAGGCTTTTTTACTTTTAAAGCAAGGCTTAAAACTAGTTAACCCAGGTTTATTTATTGGACTGATACCTTCATAGAAATGACCATCATCAGATGATACCGATGTGAATGTGTATTATTCACGTTCTGTTCTGGTCCTGCTCTGCTCTTTAGTCCAATCAGAACAGTTCTGTTCATAACCAGAACCTCTGCCTGTCAGCAGTCTGTTTACAGATCTGTTAATAAGGTTACCTGATCAAACACTGCTGACCTTTGACCCCACCAGGCAGCCAATCACAGCAGCCTGACAATGGTTCACTTCCAGAGTTTATCCCAACCTGCTCAGAGGATCCATGACACAGATCTGGTTCTGATCTCAGAGCCATTTGGGTCCAGTTTAAAGGTAAGATGTTCCTGTGCTTCCAAAGGATGTGAAACAGCTTCTATCTTAGACTGTGTTCAAGGTTCTAACAGTTCTAAAACTGTGTTCTACCTGTTCTGACGTTGCAGGTCCAGGTCCTGTCTGTTCTAAAACTGTTTTCTTCTTGTTTTGACGTCTCAGCTCCGGATTCTCCCTGTTCAAATACTGTGTTCTACCTGTTTTGACCTCATGGGTCAATTTTCTACCATTTCTGACATGCTGGGTCCAGGTTCTCCCTGTTCTAAAAGAGTTTTTGTCTCCTTCTGACATCTTAGGTCAATGATCTTCCTGTTCTTAGACTGTGTTCTACCTGTTCTGATCTCACAGGTCCAGGTTTTGGCTGTTCTAAGGCTGTTTTCTACCTCTTCTGATATCATAGAACATGTTCTACCCGTTATCATGTCATAGGTCCAGGTTCTACCTGTTCTTATACTGTGTTCTACAGCTTCTGACCTCAATGGTTAAGTTTTTACCAATTCTGACCTTACAGTTCCAGGTTCTACATCTTCTTAGACTGTGTTCTACCTGTTCTAACGTCACAGGTTCAGGTTTGTCCTGTTCTTAGACTGTTCTACCTTTTCTGACTTGCTTCAGTAAGTGATCAACCAATCAGCACCCCCCTGTAGTTGACAGGATGTAGATGAAGATCTCCTGTCTTAATGCAGGGAGCCCAATGAGGAAGACTTTAAAAAGGTTTAATTCACTCAAATGTTTCCAATGAACCTGCCATGAAACTATTTCCCACCAGGAGTGACGCTGCTGCTGCTAGACCACATTTGGTTGTATGTCGTTACCATGACAACAAAGGTTCTTCCTCCCACCTGAGGATGAGCAGGTATCTGCTGACTCAGCTCCTCAGAGGACGGACTGGATGTTGAAGCCATCGGTCCATCCTGACCAGTTGGAATGTGATGAAGTCCACTGATAATGAAAGTTAAAACTATTGCTAAATCCCGTTCAATCAAAGTGTTGAACAATAAGGGAAAAAGGAAAGCAACACAGAGCAAACTATTTATAAAAACAGACAAACAAAAAGAAAATGATATATATAAAATAATATAAAATAACACAAATAAAACTTTAGCGATAGACTGAAGGAAAAGTTCTTCACTAGAATGGACCCACAGCATGCCGGAGCCTCTACCTCTGCTTCATACTGACCAGACAGAGTTGATCACAGGAACGATGGAGGGCCTGTAGGGTTCAGCTGACCTTTGACCTCCACCCAGTAAAGAACTGGTTTCCAGCTCAGGCTGATTCTGAGTTTTCTCTCTG